AACGAATTCTTCAATTTTATAGTAAGCTTTTTTGCAAAGGAACTGTTTTATTTGACATTTAAATCTTTTTTCTGGCAGATTTATAACAGACTCTGGTATTTTATTATAAAACCTTACGCAATTGCCATAAAACGAATTACTAACTTTAGCCAAACGACATTTAGGTAAAATCAGTTTGTTATTGTTACGTAAGCTTTTATTAGTGCAATCACTAACTCTTTTGAAACTGTCTATATTCCTTCTGGCATAGATGATATTTTCATAAATGTATTGTATATTCTACCATTATCTTGTAAGGACGCAAATATTCGAAAACTTGAACATAGCTACTGGAAGAGGGTCTATTGATGATCAAATTCCGCTGAAAATCACTAGGTTTCCAAGTATATCCGAACTCTATTCAATACCCGATGATGCCTCGGTGAAACACGTGACTCAATATAGGTGTAGACTCAATAATGGTCAAATTTGATCACGAATAGAGAAGGCAGTAACGCTTCCAATTGCGATGGTCAAGTTTTTACACTGAATATTTGATGTCACACACACGCTAATGGCAGAACTAAACAAAATTAATGTAATGGATATGTTATTATGTTGTTTAAGTAATTATCCCTTTATTTTTAATTGCAGCCTCACCAGCGTATACCTACCACATTTCGTTATCACCCAAAAAAAAAAGCCTCTGCCTACCTTATCTGGGGTTACACATATTGTAAATAACCTCAAAAAGATCAACAAAACATAATAATTTGCAAAATCACAACATTATTATATTTGAATTAAAAAGAAAATTTATATTTATTCATTTATGTATGCATATAACTATAATATATATGTATTTAGTTCGATAATTTTGCATTCCCTCCAGAGGAACACACTATACAATTAAAACTTTGGCCGTATCAAATCGCAGCTGAAGTACTACATAATATATTTATAATAAAAAAAAAGGAAAAATGTGATAATAAAAACATTAGAGAAACATATAAATTTAATAAAATATATATATATCTGGGGTTACAATCGTGATGGTATATTTATGTTTAAATACAGATTAAACAAGTACCTAATAGAGTAATACAGGTATGAATATTGTTGTAATGACTCGAACCAGTAATAACCTCGATACAAACGCTTACCATATAACCATATAATCCTGTCTGTCGACCGTTAAACTCGCTAAAGCCGGTTCTAAACGGAGACACACAGTGTTCTTATTATCTTTACCAATATATACAACTGAAGGGTTTGTTTGTTTGAACGAGTTAACATGAGGAGAGGGGGGGGGGGGATTGTCAGTAATGTGGACTAATGATTCCATTGCTAGCAATGTACCATGTCAGGTCGACCTCCACGCGGTTCCCCCTGGAAACCATCGTGTTAAATTCCTGGTGAATTTGTCACGATGGGCTAACTGACCTGACCTCATGCTCATCTTATCATCCTCCACTAATGCCCCGCCAGCGTAAACCGTTAGTGCAGGCGGGTGCACCATTCCATTATCATCCACAAAAAAAAACATGAGGAGAGGGAGGAGTATGGTAATTAATGGGGACAATAACCGTGTCAGGTCGACAACCATGCGATAATTGTGAAACCACCTTAATAATTTAACTTTATATGCATATCATCCTCCACTGATGCCCCGCCAGCATGTACTGTTCGCTTATTCATAATCCAACGTTTAAAAAAACGAGTAAACTTGCAACCCATAAACATTTCGTGGTCATCATTGAAAAGATATTTTTATATTTCATAAGCCTTATGCTTATATATATATTATTTTTATTTATTTATTTGCTTCAGGTTACTAGGCCCATATTATAAATACCTTATAGACTAACATACATTCTATATTAATTATGTAGGTACAATATCATTAAAAGAAGTTTCTTGTCAGTTCTTCTCAGCTCTAATGACGAATTGATTGATTTGACTGATTGATCGATTGATATACCGATATCTGATTTACTATAAGTGTCTGTAATTAGATCTACATAATTATAGACATTTTTAATTTGTTTTTATTGATTTGCGGAAGATTATAGACTATTTAATACCACGCTACAACTTTGAGGAGTCGATCTAAAAGAACAAAGTGAAAACGATAGGCCGTACTATAAGCGCAATCTATACATCTATACATATAAATAAAATTGGAGTGGCTATTTGTAATATTGCAATAACAGTTTTTTACTACAATGCATGTAGTAAAAAACGAATATAAATACGGTACATACATCAAAATATCATTTTTTACAGTTTTTGTCTGTCTGTCTGTCTGTTCCGGCTAATCTCTGAAATGGCTTGACCGATTTTGATGGGACTTTTTTTGGCACGTAGCTGATGTAATAAGGAGTAACTAAGGAGTAACTTCAATTCCACGCGGACGAAGTCGCGGGAACAACCAGTTAATAATAATAAGCGCATTTGGGCGATGTCGTAGGTCAGGCCCGATTTCATTTGGTTTTATTTACACTGCGAGTAGTATGTACAGAGGAGTACAGCTCAATTTGTCTCCATTAAAAATCTATGCAAATCTCACCAACACTAATATAAGACATGAGAAAGTCTGTGTGTGTCTGTTTGTTTGTGGTCTTTTAGCCATTAAAAATCTTAATACAATTTATCATACGTCTTGTCATAAAGTATATGGATATACCTATGGTATGTCCATAATATATCCTAGTACCGCGAAACTACGTCTGTAAGTAGCATACTTACTTGACATTTATATATTACTAGCTTTTGCCCGCGGCTTCGCTCGCGTTAATTTATCCCCTTAGAGGTGGAATTTATCAAAATTCTTTCGTAGAGAATACCTACGTCATAGGAGCTTTATGCATGCAAAGTCTCAGTCCGATCGGTTTAAAATTGACAAAGTTTTATACAAACTTTCATCCCTATTTTATCCCTTTGGGGGTAGAATTAATCAAAATGCTTTCTTAGCGGATGCCTACTTCATAACGTCTACCTGCATGCCAAATTTCAGCCCGATCCGTCCAGTGGTTTGGGCTGTGCGTTGATAGATCACTATGTCAGTCACCTTTGAGTTAGATATATATAGATATTATATATTTCGCCCAATTTATATACGATCTTTTTAAATTATAGTCTAAGTGTTATTCTGATGTACAAGCTATATTACTGCAAAATTCAAAATCCGTTCAGTAGTTTTTCAGTGAAACAGTAACAAACATCCAACCAACTCATAAACTTTCACATTAATTATACATATTATTAGAATGTTATATTTTATCTCAAAAAGTAATGTATAATGAAGTAAAATAGCAGATTAAAGATAATATAAATAGACAAAGACGCGAGTAATATCTAGTATTTTATATCTGCACGTAATAATGCGAGAGTAATTGATCGAGTTCCCTGCAGTGTATGGGGCATAGTCCACCATGTTAATTGGTGCAATATAGACCGCGCGTAACTCATACGTGCGTAGGTTCAGTCTTGAAATAAGGTTCAATCGATCGACATTGGACTATAGCCGTACGACCTCGGTGATCTAGCAATTTAGAATACCGATTTATTTCCGATGGTCATGATATCGATTCCTCGCACGATACAAACATTTGTTTTAGCGAGTATCAGAGTTTGTATTCGGATGTTGTCTATGTATTCAATAAAAAATATTTAAGTATTTCTATCAGTTATTTAGTACCCACAGTACAAGTACTCTGATTAGTTTAGAACTAGATATAGCGCTAGTGTACATTGTCCTGGATTATAAATAAAAAAATATTTTCTTGTATTCAAATTGGACACAAGCAATGTGTTACTTCCGTATGAAGTATCATTGAATGAATCCACAATATCATCCACTAGCGGCTAAGGTTATATTAGTTAGCTGTTAGCTCAGCTTTTAACTATTATAGTTTTCCTATTTATGGAGCAGAGCTTCACCTTATATCATAATAATAAAAAATACTTATATATGGCAATAAATATCTCAATATTTAACCGGATAAGAAAGATTAAGATCCGTAACAAAAAGACAGTCTCAATGAATCACCTAACACATATACACAAAGAAGTGACTGAAAACCTCTAACAGTGTACAAAAATTTCCAGCACGCACTTCTAATGTTATATCACAAATCGTTTTGTTGAACCATAAAACGGGATGTTTACGACTTTTGTGGTTTATGTATGCTGGTAAACGTAATAGATTCCTGTTGAAATAACATTATTAGGTAAGTACTAACCATTGTGCCAGATTTTATGTGTATACAAACTCAGGTAACGATTTGTACATATTTTACATGTTTATTAGTACATGTTTTCTTTTTTGTAACTGGCAATCGTTGCTTATCTACATGAACAGCACAAAATACTGCGTCGTCCCGTGACTCCGAGGCTCTTGATACTTTGCCACTACTGAGGTTTATATCATGGCTCCATACCGTATATTTCATGGCGAAATCTCACCCTTCGTCTATTTCTTTCAAAATACATCTTACAAATTTGTCTATATCTTCTTATTTATATTATACATCTTTTTTTTTTTTTATTCATTTATTTATTTATTTTTTTCTCTTTATTTTGGCAACAAACAGTCGTTATAAAAACATATATTGTTTTTAAATATAATAAAATAGCGATGAATCAAAAACTGTGTGTTTGTCTATTCATTTAGTTGTCTGTATATGTTTTAAGCTTTTACGTAAAAACGGCAGGTGCAATCAGGATGAAATTTATACAAAATACATTTCCATGTAGGGTACAAAGTTTTAAAAAGTAAAGCAGAAAATTAGTAATTTGTTATTAATAATTATAAATACACCATTTACAATAGTTTATTAATTTATTATTTAATAAAATAATAGTTCGTAATAACACGGATAACATCGTAACTAATAAATACAAATGTTAATTTAGTATGCTGTAAGTCCAATAGACGGTGTTTACAAATGTACACTCGGATGAAGATATGGATACCTCGAGTATTTTAATAACTAAATATGATTACAATGGTAACATACCCATTAAAGCCATGAAGAACTGGTTGATGAGGCCACCATTGTTGATGCGGGTCAACCATTTCACCGACGGCATGTGGAACATAATGCCGTGCAACGAGCACTACCGACTTTGACTTCTCACATACACATTGTATGCGACGAACGTTGTTTCTGTAAAAAAGAAAAAAGTTGTACTACAAATATATATATATTTTTGGTTCTGTTTATCCTTTATTTATTTCGCAAGTCTCAATATATCAACCAATTTGACAGGTGTGTGAAAGAGTTTTTGAGTTATGAGGGGGTCAAAAGTGGCTCCAAATGGTTCGTGTAAATATACACACGGTGCTGCTCGCCAGTTCTCTTACTTAATCGGACAGGAAAGGGAACTGCGCCTTTTCTTGTGTAATGGTATACAAATTGACAGCAAGTGTCAAACTATTGTCTATATACGCCACCGAGGTTCCCGATTCATGACGATTTATGCGTTAGAGCAATTGAATAATATTAATAATTATGCCCTAATGGACAATTCAAACAACGTCATGTAGTCCCAAGGTAAGCAGAGTTATCGGTACTAGATAGCTGATATAAATGCTTAGATATTTTTTTTGTAAATACATCTTCTATGTATACTTATAATAAAATAGAATGAGGGAAGGACATTCTTAATAATGTGAATAATAACCCCATTGACAATGCCTTCCTTGACGCATTGGCAACGTACCATTCCAGGTTTCCGTCACGTGGTTCCCCCTGGAAACCATCGTAGTAAATTGCCATTTGCTAAGATAGGCTAACTGACCTGATTGAAGCTCATTTTATCATCCTCCACTGATGCCCCTCAAGCGTAAACCGTTAACACGGGTGCATTATCACTCATAATATAAAAATGTACATAGAAAACATCCAGATCGATACAAAAAATCTCACTTATGAATGTTTGTACAGTGCGAGGAATAGAACCCGCAACCATCATTTGCTTCTTCCTTATCCCATTTATTTGTGGTCGTCGTAATATGTTTTTCGCTTCCATTCATCCCTGTTCGCAGTCATCGCGTTATTTACTTCCTTTCTTACCATATCATCTTTCACACAGTCCATCCATCTCTTTTTCGGCCTTCCTCTGCCCTTATAACCATCCACATTCATATGTAACACCTTTCTTTAAATATTATCCTCATTCCTACGCATTACATGTCCATACCATGATAGTCGATTACTCTTCAACCTCTCTGACACCGGTGCCATTTTCATACTTCCTCGAATAGAACCCCCGACCATTGGAAGTAAAGCGGTGTGCTAAACCACAAGACGACTAAGGCCGTCAAATATAATATAGATTAATATTACAGGTTATAGAAAGCTTAGTACGGACAGATAAACAATGTTACCACGACAACAAGCTTCTGTGTCACCTTAAAAACGTGACGAAACTCGATAGTCACTTAAAGCACATAGACGGCACGTGTTTGTTCTTATTCAAGCATGCGTTGCATAACAAATTTATTACATAAGAGAACTTGCATCGTAAATTGATAAGTAATCAAATCAATATATTAATAAAAAAGACCAAACAGTGCCAGAACTTAAACTAAACAAATAATTAATTATTACAGAACTTTTTGATAGGATATAAATATATAATCTTATATATAAAATTCTTGTGTCACAGTTTTCGTTCCCATAGTCCTCCGAAACGGCTTGACCGATTCTCATGAAATTTTGTGAGCGTATTGAGTAGGTCTGAGAATCGGCCAACATCTATTTTTCATACCCCTAAATGTTAGGGGTAGTCCACCCCTAATTTTTTTTATTTTAAGGTAAAACAACGCTAGCTGGGCCAGCTAGTATATATATATATAAATCTCAGTATAAAATCTGTTGAATTTGTATTTGTGGGTATATAGTTGTGTGTTTAAATAAAAAATCGTGCAGTTGCATAATGCGAATAAAATAATTAGTAATTTAAGTAAGAAAGAATAAATCTTATAAAATACTAGCTGTACCCGCGACGTCGTCCGCGAGGAATTTAACTTTATTTTTCTAAAATAACAAGTTTCGCACTCATCCACGTTTATGTACGTCTTATAGAGCTGTAAAGGCCAGATGCGGCCAACAGCACTAGAGTTATTCGATAGAGGGTTGCATTCTTTCATATGCTTTTTTACGGTTTACACAGCGCCAATTTTAATCAAAAGTCCTTAATCATTAAATTTTGGAATTAAAAATAATAATAAAAAAAAACAAACAATCAAATACATTCCTGTATTTATTATAATTTGTAGCTAGAATTAGTAGTAAATAGAATTGTTGCGGGCGATACAGCTATTTAAATAGTAATTAATTACTTTATATGAAATCTAGTAATTACAATTATGTATAAATTCAATAGAAATTTAAAAATTATACAAGGAAAATATTAACAAAGTAATCGATTTCTTTGTATGTATAGTTTTGAATTATTCAACAAATATTATAAGAAATACATTAGTATTATACTATATCTCTTCTTTTATAGTTCCTACTTCCTGTCGTGGTTTTTCCTCTCATACATCATCAGAATAATATACAATCTATATATATATATATATATACAACTGAAAGGTGACTGACATAGTGATCTATCAACGCACAGCCCAAATGACTGGACGGAACGGGCTGAAATTTGGCATGCAGGTAGATGTTATGACGTAGGCATTCGCTAATAGAGAATATTGATTAATTCTACCCCCAAGGGGATAAAATAGGGGATGAAAGTTTGTATGAAACTTTGCCAATTTTAAACCGATCGGGGTGAGACTTTGCATGCATAAAGCTACTAAGACGTAGGCATCCCCTAAGAAAGGATTTTGATAAATTACACCCCCAAGGGGCCACCATACCATTTTATAGAGCTTAATATATATATATAGTTAATAGCTCTTTGACTTCAAGGTCTCTACAATAAAACTTCTCTGATTACGAGGTGCATATATCCTTTATAATGTGTCTGATTTACAACTTTGACGTTAAAGTTTAATTTAAATTAAGTTTAATAAACCAATGACTTCTTTACAACAGTAACTCCTGGTTAATTCGGTACCTTGCTTGCTTGTTATATATGTAGAGCTATAAACTGAAAAACTATTTGACCGATTTCAAAACTTCTTACTCCATTAGAATGTTACATATTTCTGAGTACATAGGCTATATTGAGGGGAAGGTGCTTGTTAGTAATGTGGACTCAGAACTCCATTGCTAGGAATGTACAACTGATTTGGGGTTCTAGGTTAATCAGGTTGATCTCCGCATTGTACCCCTGGAAACCATCCTGGTGTTTTACCACGATGGGCTAACTGACCTGACTTCGTGATCATTTTATCATCCTCCACTGGTGCCCAGCCAGCGTAATCCTTCCTACGCTAGGCGGGTGCACCATTCCATTGTCATCCATAAGAAAAAACATAGTCTATATTTATTACTTGAAAAAAAGTATTGAGAGTTCCGCATTCCTAAGGTGTAAAAATATCCATACAATGTCTTACATTCGAAAATATAAGAAATAAAATAGCAATTTGAAAATAAACCGTTTCATATTACAATCGTTGGTTACTATTACTTATATTGACTAGTATAGATAATTGTACTTCGTTGATATAATTTTAGTGACAAATAAATGGGAGACTATTGAGAATTTTAAAGTTATCCTACACCAATGTAACATATTCAAGGTAATTTATACATCTATACATATAAATAAAATTGGAATGTCTGTTTGTAATATTGAAACAACCGTTTTTTACAACATGTATATGAATATAAATACGGTACTTTTACCAAAATAACATTTTTTATAATTTTTGTCTGTCTGTCTGTCGGTCTGTTTGTTAAGGCTAATCTCTGAAATAGCTGGACCGAGTTTGACGGGCCTTTTTTGGCAGGTAGCTGATGTAATAAGGAGTGGGCACTTAGGCTACTTTTATTTTAGAAAAATTCTTAATTATTTTTATTTTAGAAAAATAAAGTTAAATTCCACGCGACCGGGAACTGCTAGTCTATAAATGAAATAAAAAAAAGCATGTAAATAATATCTGGCATAATGTCACAGGATTCGTGTTTATGGTATACTCCTCCGAAACGGCTTGACCGATTTTTATGATTTTTTATATGTATATTCAGTAGGTCTGAGAATAGTTTTATAACTAATTTTTATACCCCTAAGGGTGGCTCACCACAAAACATATTTTTTTATATTTTCGTCAATTTTTTAAATTTTTATTTATTTATTAAAAAATAATAAATAAATAACAACCCTATATTTCACCCTACTATCACTAATCCCTATTTTTTATAGCGTTATTAATTTATATGGTAAAGCAACGTTCGCCGGGACAGCTAGTTTATTATACATTTATCTCAAAATGTTTAAAAAACAAATATCTATGTATATATATATTTTTGCCTTCTTTTTTGATACATTCACACGCAGAGAGTTACATTGTCGGCGAGTGAGAATGGTTCTATCATGAATAGTTGTGATATTTGATTGACATTCAATTGATTTGCTACTTGTAAATCAATCAATGAGATCGTGATATGCATTCGTTGATTGAAAACGATTTAGAGGTTAAGCAACTCACGAGAATGTCAAGCTACGTCGAGTTTGAGATTCTCAATTATCTTATGGTTTTGTACTTTTTTATACGGAACTGATATTTGTTATGTAAGTGCGATGGTAAACAAACTGGCAGCCTATTCGATGGTAAGTGGTACCTATTATCTAAATAAATGAAAAGCACCAGAGACATCACATCTTCATTACGACCATGGTCTTCTGATGTATTTTCATTTAATTAAATTCAGGCTATTAACGGCCCATATTATAAATACCTTACAGACTAACATATATATGAAAGATATGAAATCTATACATATAAATAAAATTGGAGTGTATGTCTGTAATATTGAAATAACCGTTTTTTACTACATACATATGAATATAAATACGGTACATAGGTACACCAAAATAACATATTTTACAATTTTTGTCTATCTGTCTGTTGGTTCCGGCTAATCTCGGAAATGGCTGCACCGATTTTAAGCAGTAACTTAGGCTACTTTTATTTTAGAAAAATAAAGTAATGTTGCAAAATTTCACGTGGACGAAGTCGCGGGTACGGCTA